AATTCTTGAAGAAGACTCCAAGACTCCGATTATACGATAAATAATGTATCCTTGAATTTGATCTCAAAATTGATAGGAATTGTGTTAATATCGCATATTTTAATTCATTTTCTATAAAATATTCCTAAAATCATATAAACTTTTTCATGAATCAAAGCTGTGTTGAGCGTATCCAACAAAACCGGTTTAATTGATTTCGCAAAGAAGCTCAATGGAGTTGGTCTTAATCTGGTGGCCAGCGGGGGTACCGCCAAATTGGTCAGAGATGCCGGAGTGCCCGTCACTGACGTGTCCGACATTACCGGAGCTCCGGAAATGCTGGGCGGAAGGGTAAAGACACTGCACCCGGCCATTCACGCGGGTATTTTGGCGCGAAAGACGGACTCCGATCTCCAGGACATGAAGAAACAGAACTTCCGTCTCGTGAATATCGTTGTCTGCAATTTGTATCCATTCGTTGAGACCATAAGCGCGGCGAACGTGAATATCGCGGACGCCGTGGAACAGGTGGACATCGGAGGCGTCACTCTGTTGAGGGCTGCGGCCAAGAATCACAACAGGGTTACCGTGATCTGCGACCCTAAAGATTACGATATTGTGGCCAAAGAGTTGGTTGCAAACAAAGAAGTGTCGGAAGCGACCAGAAAACGCTTGGCAGTCAAGGCCTTCAACCATACGGCGCTCTACGACTCCGCCATTTCTAACTATTTCAGAGCTCAATATAACTCCGGTTTATCCCAATTAACGCTCAGGTATGGCATGAATCCGCACCAAAAACCGGCACAATTGTACACATTTGAGGACCGGCTGCCACTGACTGTAGTGAACGGTTCGCCCGGTTTTATCAATCTATGCGATGCTCTCAATGCTTACCAACTCGTGAGAGATCTGAAGAGAGCGTTGGGTCTTCCGGCGGCCACTTCTTTCAAACACGTGAGTCCTGCGGGCGCTGCCATTGCTGTGCCCTTAAATAGGGAACAATTGAAGTTATGTATGGTTGAGGACCTGGAAAAGGAGTTAACCCCCATTTCGACGGCTTATGCACGCGCTCGAGGGGCTGACCGCATGTCCTCTTTCGGCGATTTTATAGCCCTTTCGGATACTTGTGATGTGACGACCGCTAAAATAATATCCCGGGAGGTGTCCGATGGTATCATTGCTCCGGCATATGAACCGTCAGCTCTCGAGATCCTCAAGAAGAAGAAGAACGGCGGGTATTGTGTTCTTCAGGTATTTTGTAATTTAAACAAATTGTTGCCAATTATTGTGGACTTTGGTTAATATATGGGTTTTGTGTTCAGATTGACCCCAACTATGAGTCACAGAATATCGAAACCCGAACTCTGTTTGGACTGACGTTAGAGCAGAAGAAAAACGATGCGCTGATCGACAGGAAGTTGTTTTCGGGCCCTAATGTGGTCGCGTCGCCTAAACCGGTAGAGTTTGGCAAACATTTTGTTTTATATGAAAATTGGTTTTAATAAA